TTTTGAGTCAACTATGAATCAAAGTTTTAGTTGTTTAAGATTTATTTATTTGAAAGAGTTACAGAGATGGGGAGAGACAAAGAGATCTTCCATTGCTGGTTCATTCCTCAAATGGATGCAGTGCCCAGGGCTGCACCAGGCCAAAGCCAAGACCCAGGAGCTTCTTCCTGCTCTCTCACATGGGTGCAGGGGCCTAAGCACTTGGGCCATCTTCCTTTGCTTTCCCAGGCCATTAGCAGGAGCTGGTTCAAAAGTGGAGCAGCCGGGACTTGAACCCATGCCCAAATGGGATGACAGCATTGCAGATGGTGGCTTTTACTCAATATGCTACAACACCAGCCTTCAAAGTTTTAGTTTTAAAATCCCTGCTATCACAGCGAAGGTGATACGTTTCTACAGCATTAAACTTTAATAATTTCTTGATATAGATAATGAAGTTATCCAGTACAGTGTGGAATTTAGATCTAGACAAAGCCTAATAATGGCTTCACATGGTATAGTAAGCTCACTATTCAGGTATTATTAATTGACTGGTCATTACTTTAGTTCTTGAAACCATGTAATATCAAAGAGTTCTCATGATATTTTTGGCAAATCATAATACAATTTATTGTTGCTTATTTTTTTAGAAATATTCTGGCTCTTCGAAATCATTTTGTTTCCAGCACACCCGCCACGGATTATTTTCTGCAACAAAAAGACTACTTCATCATTTTCCTCCTGATTTTGCTTCAAGTCATAATAAACTTCATGTTTAAGTAGAAGTTCTCTACAGTTGAATAAGTGAACTAGAAAAATCGGATTTGCCCTGGGACCAATGTTCACGTTGGTTTGGGCTTTATTAAAATATTGCAATATTTCTAAAGAAACCTAGATGATAAATGTAGAGATATTGACTTTTCATATGTTTTATCCTTAACCTGAAACAAGAGCTATCCTGTTTGGTTATTAAATTGAGTTATGTGTTAAGTGCCAGGACATTTCTAGCTTTTGTGAGGCTGTGTCTACATGTGAGTATAATAAATCCACATGTATACACAATTGTCTCTTATGTACTCTTACCTAAAAGTAGTCTTGTGTTCTATAGTATGTTCTAAGATATAATGTTAACATTGTTTGTAAAATGCTATGAATCTTATAAATATAGGGGTAGTAATCTGTTTTCTTCACAAAACTTTAATCAGTAAGGAATTAAGGGCTGGGGAATGATGGAATAATAGACATAAATAATTCAAAATACTGTACTGATGATTTCACTGCTGAAGCACCCAACTCAATTGTCTTCATAGAAACAGCAAGAAAAAAAGGTGTTGAGTGGTCAAAACTAATATATTGAAAGAAGTTGCAAATTACTTTCTAAAAGTTTACACGAGATTTTTTTTAACCCCCTAGAATTTAATATTTATAGATACAGGTAATGTTTATGTATATGTATATCAATATAAAAAACTGGTATGTAGCTGATTGGACGTATTGATTATAATAACCATCTTAAGCACTTGCTGAAAAAAGTGTGGTAAAAACTGGTTGCTGTCCTTTTTTCTCCTTTTTATTTTTGTTAAGTCAGCTGGTTCATAACATAGGCCAAATTCTAGAGATATTGATAGGGTATATGAAATGGCGACAATTCATGTTTTTTCATTATGAAAAAATTACTTTAGTTTTCATTTAGACCTTCATGTGTTCAGTAAATAAGTAGAATGAAAAAATGGTAACCAATATTTTACTTTTAAAAGCCAAAAAGAGAAAAGCAATAAGAAAAGATACTGTGTGGTGGCCTTTATGTCTGCATAAAATTGGTTTCTTTAAAATGTGCAATACAATGAGCATCCAAGAAGAGTACTAAGTACTGAATTTTTTTTATTATATCCCACTCTAAGTAACTGAATTCTGTGGCAAAACCACAGATCTCTAAGATCCCTTTTATGCAGGCTCAGGCATACTTTTTTAAGTTTTTGTTCAGTTTTTACATAAATACAGTCCTTAAAAATAATCTTTCCAAAGGTAGTTAAGTCTAGGAACATATTATCCTAAAATATACAGTACAATCCTGAAAGTATAGATTTAAATGTAGCTATTACTGACAGTGAAGGTCAGTGAGTATAATCACTCTAGTGTAATCACTCTGGCTACATTTCCTTTGACTAAAAAGAAACTATGAGACATTAATAAAATTACAATCAACTGTTTATACCATGGTAAATATGGAATCAAGGGACATTTGCTAAATTGTGAAAATTGAAAATGAGAAAACTTGCATTTTGCCCCAATATAACTATCTTAAGTATCCTTATATTTCTGTGACGAGCCATTTCCCATGTAGTGTTAGTGCTGTATTCCATAAGTATGTGTGAAAATATTTTTAGATTGATAAAAGCATAAATAAGATGTACCTATGCCTGGAATTTTCATGGCTACATTAGAAAATGGGTGTGTGTTTTTGGCTGTGTATCATTTTTGTCAATATAATTTTTGTATTCACATTCTGTTACCAATGTTATGCTCAAATGCCTATTCATTGAAGTATGATATTTTGTAAATATTGTACAATTTGATATTTTTTATGGTTTAAACTAGTATTAATTTATATTATATATCACTTGATTGGCTGCTTACAAAAATTGTTTTCTCGTTGAACCCTGAAAACTTAAAAATTTTTGTTGGTGACCTGCCTTAGGATCTTGGTCTTAAACTACTTGTATGTTACTCTCATTCAGCCTAAATAATGTTTTATTTGTATAGATATCTCTAAAACTGGAAAGGTTGTTATTTTCTTTTTTAAATTTCTTTAGGCAATTATTGTGGTTTCTTATCCAAGGAGTCAAAAACTGTTTCATATGAAAGAGCAGGGTTACTCATGACTGTTTCATATACACTAAAAGCATATACTAATCTAATAGTCCTCTTGTGCTTTTAGTTATATGAGTTCCTTTCTATAAGCTGAACACAAAACTCAGGAACTGGTGGGTTAATTTTAGATCAGTGCTTACTTGTATTTGGCTTAGTATGTGAATGTGAATCCTTTGAGACACAAAATCAATGTTTAAGATTTTAGCCATACTAGGTAAATGACTTTGAATGTTCTTTACCTGAGATTAATCTTCCTTCACGAATGGATTCATAATGTGATTCACAGTTTCCAGTTGTCTGACAGCCTCATGATGGTTTCTAGGACTTAAGACCTTATGACCAGTTTTTTTTTTCATTTATCAAAAACTTGTTTTCTCATGAAAATGAGATGAGTAATTATTGGTATGTGCATTTCTGTTTAAGTTGTTAAATGTACTGTGCTTCAGTTATCCACCATTTGGTGAGAAGTAACTGGCCCAGGAAAAGACAATAAACAGGGCATGTGTAATATTTAATAAGTTTCAGCAATAGATATTTAACTCATATTTTATGTCAGTACTTTTTTGTATCACTTATAAAGGTACAGTTTAATCTTTGTCACAGCTCTGTTGGCAACTGCATTCCATTGAAAAGTTGGCCTTGTGTAAAATACCACCCTCATTTTAATATTCATGCTTTTGTGCCTTTAAGAAAATATTTTTTGTCATTTTTGTGTTACAGAACTATAATATGATTCAGAGTGTTTATAGGCTTAAATGTCATAAAAAGGTCATTTCTCTGTGTCACTTTATTTCCTTTTATATAGCTATACTATATTTAAACAGTAATGCTGTACTTTTATAAGGGTTTGTCTATCTATTTCAAATATATTCTTACTCTCAGACATCATTGAAGTCGATTTGTCAGATTATTCTGAGTATTGTAAACAGTGCCTTTTCGATGGAATTCACACTGTTTGGGGTGTCAACTTGTGCCATATACACACACAATTTTGTGGAAGGCGGTTTTAACTTTTTGAAGACTAGCTTATCAAAATTTAAGAAAACACATATGTAAAATTCCATTTTTCCAATGGTTAGCATTTCTAGTAAGTGATGAGTAGGGTTTTTTGTTTGATACACAATGATGATGGCATTATCGATGAGCCATACATGAGACTGCTGATTATTCTGAATTATGTTAAATGTATAGAAATAAAATGCTAGCATTTATACAAATTTTCCAAGTTGAGCCAATGGAGGAAACCCCACAGAAATCAGTAAGTTTACATTTTGACTTTTATCATATTTGACTCAAGTGTAAAACAAAATTCTTTAAAATGTATAACCTGCCACTGTTATGTAATTTGGTTTGATTTTGTTCTACTTGTCTTATGAGTTTTGTATATTTAATTTACTTTTTGTTACTCTTAACTACCGTCTGGTTTTGTTACAGTTTTTAATTGCAGATGGATTGTTAAAATTGTATACGACCAGTGTCTTTTAATATGATTAACATCCTTAGAAAAGTCACAAGAAACCCATGACAAAATGAATGTGAATATACTTTCAAAAACATTTAGAAAATTTTATCTTTATGCCTTTATCATGTAAAATTGTTTTACATTACATTAAAATTTTTCATTTAAAGAAAAATGCCATGAAACATTTGAACTGATGAGCCGTAGAATTTCAGATTTTTTTTCACTTTTAGCATGATAAATATACATCTAAATTTAAATATTGATTAATGGCCATTTATAAATTCAAGCACTACCACTGGTCAGTTTTGTATGATATAATAAAAGTATGTTATCTGCAGTCTAAGCATAGCACACTGTCAAATTCTTTTCCTTAAGGTGCATAGTAAATATACAGAATAGTCATAGGCTACTGTTTTGTAACATACTACATTTCTAATCTGTTATTCCTAACCTGTTATAAATGTTTGCAGAGAGAAAAGAATTTTTCTAATTATCTGTCAAATTATGCTAAGTTCTACAAGTAGGCATTCTAAATAAAATTTTTAAAAAGAGCCAACTGTGATCAAATGACTTTTTAATATAATATATGGTGACAATTACTTAGTTTATTTTTTTTATTTTTTCCCTTTTTCGTGGAAATTGCTACAAAAGATGGAAAAAGGCTTGTAATCGAAAGGGATTTAACAGACTCCCTAATGTGTGCTTGCCTGATGCTTTATATTCATTCTTGTATCCTTGTAACAACCTTAAGATAAGTGTAATTTAGCCCAATTTTATTCATAAAGAATTTGAGGCTTGCAGAAGTTAAATGACTAAAAACTACACAGTAACAGCAACTTGTTACTAGTATAAAAGAAAGAACATACCTTTGAATCCATGTCTCCACGGTATACTTACATAGAACTGTGAATATGCCACTTCACTTCCTAAATGTTTGGAATAATCTACTGGTTGAATCCATAATGCAACCCCATAATAATGAACAGAACCAGGAAAAAAATCTTAATATTACAGATTTATATTAAATACATATGAAAAGGTTTTTTCCTCCCTAAATCACCTAGTAGTCCATAAGGAGTCAACATGAAATGATTTCCAAGAAGCCATTGCTTTGTAGTTTTCCTCCACCATTCTCCCTTCTCATTCTTGCTCTCCCTCAGGGTCCACTTACTGATTATCATTGGTTTATCTTATTGGGAGGAAGAAAAAGAAGGGCCTACAAGTTTCTCTTATCCTTTGCCTAGGAGTAAGGAGAACCCTCCAGTGTTCAACCTCAGTGAAACATCTGCAAGATCATCTTCTTTGAGTCTAATAGGTGTTGTGCTATTATGCAAAATTAATCCGATGCATCTTATACCCCTTTCTTGACGGAATAATGTGCCAGGGGAATGGTGATCTACCACAGTAATATGATGCTTGTATTATAAATATTTGCATATTATATACCTGTAACAATGTATTTTGTAAACATTCTCCACCTCTTCAAAACCTTGAGATTTTTTACTTTTATATATGTCACTCCATCTTTTCTAAGATGAGAAAAGCAAGAACCAAAGATACTTGCTGCCATAGATGAATAAATTCCAGAGCAAACTCGGGCCTGAATCCAAAGCCCATACTCCTAATTGTGTGTGCACGTGCGATTACTAATAGTACATACTTTTTGCCTTTGGACTGTGTCCAATAATTTTTAAAGCACTCTATTGATCATCACTGTGACAAATGTATTTAAGTCCAAACACCAAACACCGATCAACCCTGCTTAAAAAAAAATTAAAAAAAAAAAAAAAAAAGCAAATTGTGGAGGCTGGAGTTTCATTGTAGTGCTGAACCAAGTAGATGTGTCAAAGCCGGCCGCGGAAGACAAAGCGTGCAACTCGTGGTCGTGGCCAGAATTTTTCCCATCGGTCTTGCATTCCGCAACTGCTTTCGTTCTGGGAAGGAAAGCAATTGATGGGGAGTGTGGAGTGAACACGCGTGTATCCGCGCAGTTTTAGCACGTAAAAAACAGCTTCCAGCGGGAGGTGGGAAAAACAGCTGGGTTCTACTGGGTTCTACTCGCTGTGCCCATTTGCTCCTTCACAGAGCACGGTTCCTGGGAGTCGAAGGGATATCGGGGCGGGGGGATGTGACTGAAAGCGAACGTGTTCACGCAGTAGCTGGGAAAAGACTTAAAGAGTTCAGGTTATGGGAAAGATCCGGTGATTCTCCCTCTTTGCGCGGGCTATGAGCCTGAGAACACCTATTCGCAGACTGACGAGTATTACCGCCCACTGGTTTGAAAGGCAGCCTGCTCGTCCAACCAAGAAGCCGACCAGTGACAGCTTCCGGTGTTGGCTCGGACTGCCGGTTTCTTCCCCGCCTTTTCCGTTTCCTGCCGCTCCCAGTCCTGTTCGATGGGGCCCGCAAGCTGGTGACGTGAAGAGGCCCAGACCCCAGGTTCTATGGCAGCCGCTGGGTCTGTGAAGGCGGCGTTGCAGGTGGCCGAGGTGCTGGAAACCATTGTGAGCCGCTGCATGGGCCCCGAGGGGCGGCAGGTTTTGTGTACGAAGCCCACCGGCGAGGTGCTGCTCAGCCGGGACGGAGGCCGCCTCCTGCAGGCGCTACACTTAGAGCATCCCATAGCCAGGTACCCGCGTAACCTTCTAGCCTAAAACCGGGCACCCCAGGCAGCCTCCCTCAGCCTCTTGTCCCGACCTAAGGCTACGCATCTGGAAAAGCTGACCTCAGTTGAGACCAGGGTACTCGGTGTTGGAGCCTTTCCCAGGGACCCCTGACTTTTATCAACTCCCAAGAACATTTCGATTTCCTCTTCTCCCCACTCCACCCAGCCCTAGAAACTTGGAATAGAAGAAAGTAACTTGGAAAAGATAAAACTAAGAATGTATATTAAGGGGACTTTTTATTTATATCTGAAAAACTTGATGTCGGTATAGGAAGCCAACCGTGTGAAAATCTGAGTTGCTTTATTTCTTTTTATGCAGGGTAATAGTGGCATGTGTTTCCAGTCATCTCAAAAAAGCAGGAGATGGTGCTAAAACATTTATTGTCTTACTTTGCCATTTGCTCAGAGGACTTCATGCAATCACAGATAAAGAAAAAGGCGATTTGATGTCTGAAAATATGCAAACCCATGGAAAGCATTGGAAAAGTTGTTGTCAGTGGAAATGTATTTCCCAAGCTCTTCTGACATTTCAGACACATACATTAGACAGTATTATGGACCAGTACTTGAGTAGACACTTTCTGTCTATCTTTTCTTCATCTGCTAACGAGAGAACATTGTGCAGGAGCTCTTCAGAGTTGCTCTTAGAAGCATACTTTTGTGGAAGAGTGGGAAGAAATAATCACAAATTTATTTCACAGTTGATGTGTGACTACTTTTTCAAGTGTATGACTTGCAAAAGTGGAATTGAAATATTTGAATTAATGGATGACTATTTTGTAGAGTTGAATGTTGGGGTCACTGGCCCTCCTGTTTCAGATTCTAAGATCATAGCGGGGCTTTTGCTTCACAGAGATTTTTCTGTGTACTGTCCAGCAGATGGTGACATAAGAATAGTGATGGTAACAGAAGCCATTCAGCCTCCTTTTACAACTTCTGGATCAGAGTTTTTTCTGAATTCAGAAACACAGTTTCAGACTTCTCAATTTTGGATTATGGAAAGAACAAAAGCAATAATGAAACATTTAAATGGTCAAAATGTAAAATTGCTCCTGTCTAGTGTAAAACAACCAAATTCAGTTGTTTATTATGCAGCACTAAATGGCATATCAGTGGTGGAGTGTTTATCAGCAAAAGAAGTTTCCCTTATCCAGAGAATCACCGATCTTTCTCCATTTGTACCACAGGCCTCTTCACAGTATGACATTTCTAACACTGCTTTGGTGAAATTTTGTAAACCATTCATCCTTAGATCTAAAAGATATGTTCATCTTGGTTTGATTAGCACATGTGCGTTTATACCACACTGTATAGTTCTTTGTGGACCAGTGCAGGGTCTTATTGAGCAACATGAGAATGCTTTACATGGCGCATTTAAAATGCTCCGGCAGTTACATAAAGATCTTGATCTAAGTTATATTAGATATGCCAGTGACCAAAATGATACATTAAGTATCCCTGTTTCCAAAAATAGGAGAGAAAATGATCAGTTAGTAGAAACTGGAAATAAATCTATACAAAGACCATATCAGGACACAGTTGTAAAGGACAAAGATGATTTGGAAAAAACTCAAACATATTTAAAAGTATACTCAAATTTGGTTGTTTCAGATATAGAATTAGAAGCATATATTCCATGTTCAACACCAGAACTAACATCAGAAGATACATTCCAAATAGATGAAACACTGAGATGTTTGTCTCCTGGAGAACACAGGATAATTGGTGATTGTGCCCCATTAGCGGAGGGTAATTCCATTGCCAATTCAACAACAGAAAACATGAGAACAGAAATATTTTGTGAAAACTTACAGATCACAAAAATTACTAGAAAACAGAGCATGTCGCCAGTGAAATACAACTCACTAGATGAGGGTACTTGCCAGAGTTACTATTCCTCATCTATACCAGCAGGTTCTGTTTTGCCAGTGGGTGGCAACTTTGAAATCTTGTTACATTACTATCTAACCAAGTATGCCAAAAAATGTCAATCATCAGAAGAAACCATGGTTAGTATGTTAATAGCTAATGCACTTTTAGGCATTCCCAAAATCCTCTGTAGGTACAAGAACGGAAAGTACAGCTTTCCACACCTATATTTAAAAGCTCTCCATGCACTGGAAACCAATCAACCTGTGGTAAGCAGTCAGACAGGTTTAGAATCAGTAATTGGTAAATACCAGTTATTAACTTCAGTTCTCCAGTGTTTGATAAAAATATTGACCGTTGATTTGATAATCAGTATTAAGAGACAGCCTCAGAAAGTTCATCATCAAGATTCAGAAGATGAACTATAACTGCAGAAATCTTTATTAATCCAATTCAAGCCATGAAGTAAAGCAGGGATGTGATTACTAATTCCCAGGTCAACTAAGTCTACTTGGGAAAGCAGCATGACTTTAAATGACTTCTGAAGAAGTACCCTAGGCCACCAGACCATGCAGACAAAAATACTGGGCTAATTTATGAGAGTAAACTGGATGAAAGAGGGTTTTGGCATGGGGGAGCCAAGATCTGCCTAAATCTCTCCTCTCTATGTCTCAGCTCTTTGTTAATCTGTGTGTCTAGGGGAGAATAATTCTTTTTAGCTCCTTTTTGCTTTTCTGCATCTTTTTTCATTTTTGCTATCCCTCTTTTACCTTTCCTATTCTTAGTTCATAGAATCACTTACTCTCAGTGGATTTGTTCTTCAAATTCCATTTTAATTGTTTATAAGATAAATATGTCATTTGCTTCATTTAAAATAGATTTTCCCCATTCATGGTCATATATAACGTGAATAAAAGTAAAATTTTTTCCAAAGAGCAATATAAATTAGTTTTTACTTTTATGTAACCCTTGGTTTATTTCCATTTTATTTGGAAAAACTTGGATAGATTTTTACCATTCAATACATGTTACCAGAAAAAAGACAATGCAAAGAACTAATTTTTGTAGTTAAAAGTTAATATCACAAAGAATATTGAATTCATACTTTGATTTTCTTCTGGCTCCTAATGGCTTGCAGAGATATTTTATGTACTTACTGGCTTTGCCTATATTTGGTACTTAGAGTTCAATAATGGTTTCTAATGTGAAGTTACAAATGTTTGTGTTATTTTAAAAGCTTTTAAATGCAACTAATAACTGCATCTAACAGTGGATATGGACAGTCTTATCTGCTTTTAGGAATTCTCTGTAACACTCAAAACAGTCTTAAATTGTCCTACATTTAAATCATATATTGAAATGTATTTGGTGAATAAAGAAGTGTTATCTTTAATCCATTTCTCTAAATACATGTTTCACAGTGTCCTTATTAAACAAATTCTTAGTGTTTCTTGTGTACCAGATGCTGAATGTGCTGTGCCACCTTACATATTCCCTCACAGGTTAGTAGGTAGATAAGTCACACTACTTGGTTGGGATCAAATGTAGGAAAACTAAGGAAAAGAAGCATTACAGTTGAATAAGTGGTGATTATTCATGTACAGAAATCATAGAAAAGCCTACTTCTGTAACGCTGTTTAGTTTTTTTATTTACTTTTTAAAATTGCTTGTCAGGTCGTTCTGCTTTATTTTGTTTTAAGTGCTCCTGCATCATTGAAGACATTGAAAGACGCTTATGGACATGCTCAGTGCTTTGCGTATGGTAGGCATTAATAACTATAAATAGCCTGTAGTCCAGAAGCCCCTTTATAAACTGTGATTGAGTCTTTGTATGTTTGATACCTGGTCCAGTATCTTACACACAATGATTATCCAATAAATACCTATCGAGGACCTATCTGTTGCATGAATCAGTCATTTGGTCCTCAGAGACGAGGTTGTAATTATTTAGCTGTGTTTTGAGAAGGAGCCAAAAATGTAAGTGTCTACACAAAAATAATTTTTGAAAATGGTAATGAAGCTTCCATAAGTTATCCTAATTTACAGAATAACATGGGAGAGTTTGCTTTTGGTGGGTCAATAGGAGAGGAGTTTTTTAAAAATGTGATTATATTTCATTTAGGCCCTCTACCACAGAGTATATGAGATGACCTTCAATAAGACCATACAAAATTAGGATAAAATTGGAATAAAAACTAAAGAATCAAGAACAAAGAAAATGTAAAGACAATTTAAAATCAAGATCATGTTCCTGTTTTCTATTGCTGCATAATGAATAACCCCAAAACTTAGTAGATTTGAATCATTATTTCTTCTTGATTCTGGGAATTGACTGGACAGCTTCCACTGTGTTCTGTTGGTTGAACAGTCACATGGCTCACCTAAGATTCAAGGGAGGGGAACCCCGGTTCCATTACTCAATGGAAAGAGTGTCAGTGTCACATAAGAAGAGCACGTGGGATGGGATATATTGAGGCAGCTATCTTTAGAAAATACAATCTGCTACACCATGGGAAGATGAAAGAAAATGCACATTAACTTCTCACCTGAGGTTTTTATTATTTCTTGAGGTTAACATGTCAATCCACCCCACACAAATTCATTTTCTTTATTAACATCTGTGAACCTTTCAATTTTTCCTCTTTGGGCCACCTCAAGGCATTTTATTTTCAAGACAATGGGCATTTTATAATTAAACATCCTTTAACTGCCTCAGCCGGAGGAGCTGTTTAATCATGTTATACAGAAAGTGTCAGGATTTTTGTGTTTCAGGCTGAAAGGGAAGAGAAAGAGGAATGCAGTTTGAGCCTGAACCTTTATCAGAAATTGCCTGTCCCCTCCCAGAAAGAGTAGAAAATGTCTTTTTCATTATCACAGCTCAGCCAAGATAAAAATTATAGTTCACAAACTGTGTTACAGCTTTTGTAGTAGCAAGATTGGTAGCAACCTAAACTATAAACAAATAAACAAACTAAAAGGAATGGGATCAGTGATTTGGGAGGAAAACATGGGTTGGGAAGAAGTGGGAAGGAGATTTAGTGTTTACTTCAGGTCATTTTTATTTTTGAACCATTGGAATACTCAAAAATTTAAAAATAGATCTATCGGCCGGCGCCGTGGCTCAATAGGCTAATCCTCTGCCTTGCGGCGCCGGCACACCAGGTTCTAGTCCCGGTCGGGACGCCAGATTCTGTCCTGGTTGCCCCTCTTCCAGGCCAGCTCTCTGCTGTGGCCAGGGAGTGCAGTGGAGAATGGCCCAAATACTTGAGCCCTACACCCGCATGGGAGATCAGGATAAGTACCTGGCTCCTGCCATCGGATTAGCGCAGTGCGCCGGCTGCAGCGCGCCGGCCGCGCCGGCCATTGGAGGGTGAACCAACAGCAAAGGAAGACCTTTCTCTCCGTCTCTCTCTCTCTCACTGTCCACTCTGCCTGTCCAAAAAAAAAAAAAATCTAGAACAAGCACGTAGAAGGTGTTCCCCAAATAGTAATAAAATAATAAGCACCCTAATCTGAGGAAATGTAAGATTAGTATTGGAAGAAAGCCTATGTGAGAGATACTGTGACAAGTCAGGAGAACTTTGATGGAAGAATAAAAGGGATACAGCACAAATAGGGGATATTCTGTTAGCTGCCTGGCTTAGGGTTTTCTCAGCAGTTCTGGAAATGTTAGAGCATTCTTGCTTGGCAGGTAGCAAAGAGATGTGAGCTAAGGAAGAGTGCCAGCAAGCAGAGCGGAGTTCATTTCCCTGGAGGATTTCCACAGGTCTGGGTTTGGTTCCTCCTGTGTAAACTTACCATCAGATTTTGTCAGTGTCCAGAGGATGACTGTGTCTTGGGCTGACTGAAACCCAGCTTGTGAGGATGATCAATGTGTTTACAATGAGAACTGTCCCAGGAACTAGAGTATTCCAGATCCGTATGACTAGTCCTTCCTTTATGGGTGGATCTCTATGGGAAATAAACTAATCAAGTGCTTACTCATTATGCTTAGACTCAGAACAAGAGAAATCAAATAAAGCAATGTGATGCTCTTCCCAGACTATTCATGTTCCTGTTCCCCATGGCTCAGTCCTGGCCCTCCTCTATCCATGCTTGCTTCCTAGGAGATCCTGTCTAGTTCCATAGCTTGGGTAACACTAGGTTTTGGTAATTCCAGATTTTAAATTTTCAGTCAACTTAGGAATTCCAACTCATGTATCTAGCTGAATAGCCAGCTTCTTCTTGGATACTTCCCCTTAGTATGTCCAAAATAGAATTGCTGTTTCCCAACCCCTAAACCTAGCCTTTCCTCTGTTGCCCCATCTCAGTTAATGGTATCACCATTGATTTTCCTTCAAGTCCTTTTGGCTTCACATTTGAAATACATTTCAAATCCACCAGCTTCTAACCATTGCCACTCTTAAACCACTTAAACTCTTATCCTGCCACAATCTCCTAATTCTTTTCTTTGCTTCTATCTTACCTTGTAATTCTCTAGAGTGATTCCCCCACTCTAGGACAATTAGAGTACTCCAATCCACTGATTGACTCCCCAAATGCCCACAATAGCCAAATTAGGCCAGAGCAGGAGCCAGAAATGTAATCCTGTTCTCCCATGAGGGTGGCAGGTATCAGTAACTTGACCCATCACTGCTGCCAGTTGGAGTCAGGCTCTCTGATAAGGAATGCAGACATCTTAACCACTAAGCTCAGTGCCCACTCCTTTTACAACTTTTAAACCTACAAAAAATTGCAAGAACAGTAAAATGAATACATACAGATTCTTCATTTTGATTCCCAAATTAACATTTCACTACCTTTATGCATGTACACATACATGCACAGTTATAAGCATGCATTTTAACTGAACCATTTCAAAGTTAAATTGTAGACATCATTATACTGTATCCCTAAATACATCGGTATGGATTTCCTATGAACAAGAAATTTCCCCTACATAACAAAGTGGTATTTTGAAAATGTAAATCAGATCATTCCATTCCTATGCCAAAAGTTCCCCAAAGATTTTTCCTGCACAGGGAATTAGCTTCATCATGGTCTGCAAAGCTATGCCCCTATCAGTCCCTTAGATCTTTTTTTTTTTTTTTTTTTTTTTTTTTTTTGGCAGGCAGAGTGGACAGTGAGAGAGAGAGACAGAGAGAAAGGTCTTCCTTTGCCATTGGTGCACCCTCCAATGGCCGGCACACCGAGCTGATCCGATGGCAGCAGCCAGGTACTTATCCTGGTCTCCCATGGGGTGCAGGGCCCAAGCACTTGGGCCATCCTCCACTGCTCTCCCTGGCCACAGCAGAGAACTGGACTGGAAGAGGGGCAACCGGGACAGAATCTGGCGCCCCGACCGGGACTAGAACCTGGTGTGCCGGCGCCGCAAGGCGGAGGATTAGCATAGTGAGCTGCGGCGCCGGCCAGTCCCTTAGATCTTACTTGCTGCTCTCCCTCTTGCTTTCTCAGGACCAGTTAAATTGTATCTCAGGATAAATTAGACCACACTGAGATAAGTAATCCCAAATCTGAGGTTTAAAACAATCTAAGTATTTCTTGTTCATATTACATTCTTTTGGTCTTCTGCCTACTCCATTCCAGACTTCTTTCTTATTCGTGCCTAGATCTAGACTGATTGAGCAGCCACTATCTAGAGCATTGCCAGTCATTGTACCAGAGGGAAAAAAAAGCTTTATAGGGTCTTGTATAGCTCTGTCCATAAATGTCATTGGTTATTTCTGCCCACCTCTCTACCTGGAAGTAGTCACATGATCCTACCCATCCCTAGAAGAACTAGGTAAAGAAGTCCTACTTGGTGCCTTAAAAGAGAGAGAACCAGAAGCCGGCACCATGGCTAACTTGGTTAATCCTACGCTGCGGCGCCAGCATCCCATATGGGCACCGGGTTCTAGTCCCAGCTCCTCTTCCAGTCCAGCTCTCTGCTGTGGCCCGGGAGGGCAATGGAGGATGACCCAAGTGCTTGGGCCCCTGCCCTGCATGGGAGACCAGGAGAAAGCACCTGGCTCCTGGCTTTGGATTGGCGCAGCACTGGCCATAGCGGCCATTTGGGGAGTGAACCAACGGAAGGAAGACCTTTCTCTCTGTCTCACTCTCTATAACTCTACCTGTCAAATAAATAAATAAAAGGTATAAAGAGCTGTCCCTCTTTAGATTAACATTTTAAAAAAAAAGAGCACCAGAATATTTGGCAAATGGCACCAAATTGGCCTTCATTCTGTCCCCTGAACACACAAGTTCATTCCAGTGTCCAAGCTTTCCACTTCCTGTTCTGTCTGCTTAGAACTCTTCCCCTTTGATATCCACATGACACTTTTCCTAAGTCCAGCCCCAGTATTCCTTTTTAATCCCTTCAGTCCATATATTTTATTTAGGAATTGAATGCATTTATATTCAACATTATT